GGAACGAACTGCCCCCCGAGATCCGGATGATTCCGGATCTCCTTACTTTCCGCCGCGCCCTCAAGACATGGCTTTTCCAGCAAGCGGGCCTGACCTAGGGAGGATTTTAGGTAGGGATGATTTTAGAAGCAATTTTAATTGGAAACACAGCCGTCAATATTTGGTTTTTAATTCGGTTTTTATTGGGGTTTATATTGTATTTTTGTATTTTTATTTGTGTATAGTATCTGTTTTTTAAATATGCTGTGAACCGCCCTGAGTCCTATGGGAGAAGGGCGGTATATAAATTAAACTTGAATTGAATTGAATTGAAAGTGAAAGCTAGAATATCCACCGCAGAAATGTTTCCAGAGAATGATTTTAATAATCAAATCCACTGTGTTGAAATGTGCACTTTGGGGAACATGACTTGCCAAAGCAGGCCATAAGAGAGTTCTTGTGATCTTTCTACAGTACCTCCAAGCATTCCTAACAAGGAGAAAACCAGAACTTTAGGAAGAGTCTATCAAAGGGTCATGCAGTCAATAAAAACTGGTTTAAACAGAATCACATAGTTTTTAGGAGGGGAAGGGTTCTTCCGTTGGCTTTTCGGTGGGCTCTGTTTTTGGATCCGGACTTTCTGTGCCGTCCTCCTTGTCCTGAAATAGGCCTTGAAGCTCTAATACAGGCACGGCTGATGGGGGCCTTGGAGCAACCTGTTGGATAAAAGCAGAGGAACCGCACAGTGTGCAAAAGTGAAACCAGAAACTGAATCTTTCCAGGTCAAAGTAACACAGCTTTAGTTCCCGATCAGGTTGTGATTAACATCAGGGGTCAAACCAACCAATGATCATCCTCTCTTCTACAGGCAAAGGGAGTCAAAAAGTAATATCAATAAGATGTCAATGTCACTGATGGAAAGGGCAATACAGTCCTCAATTTACGACCACAATTGAGCCCAGAATGGTTGTAATGAAAAACGGTCACAAGTCACTTTTTTCAGTGCTACTGTCACTTCGAACAGTCAGTAAATCAGTGGTTCTCAACCTTTTTAATGCCTCGACCCCCAACTGGTCGTAAGTCGAGGACTAAACCGGTCATAAGTCGAGGACTACCCAGCCGGTCGTAAGTTGAGGACTTTCCCTGCCTGGGAGCGCCGCGCATGCGTGGTTCCGCCCCCTGCCCCGGCCGAGGCGTAGCTGGCAAGCGGCAGAGACGGAGCAGGCCAACCACCAGCTGGCCCAGCTCAAGGGAGGTAAGGCACCCGCCGGAAAAGGGGGAAAAAAATGGTGGACAGCCTTGCTTGGCGACCCCCATGAAATGGTCGATCGACCCCAAATGGGGTCGCGACCCATAGGTTGAGAACCGCTGCAGTAAATGAACTGTTGTAAGTCAAGTACTACCTGTAGTTGGTGTTCTGAGAGCAAACAGCAGGTGTGTATATCATAAACTGGCTGGCAGGCAAAGGCACAACTCTATCCATATAAGCAGTGTAGGATAGACGGTTTTAGCAAATTGAGATCAGGACTCCTGATCCAGATTGCTCCCATGGAGGATTGAGCTAGACACAGCTTTTTGCACAAGGTCAACTTGCTCTAGCTGACTCTTGTGTCTGCAGGCCAACAAAGATCAACCTTAGCGCCTCAGTTCTTCCTCCTTCTGAAAGCCAACCTTGTAATCTTACAACGCTCTGGAATTGGACTTATTTGTGGTACGTGCCTGTGTAGGGATTCACTGGAGGAATTTCTGCTTGATAAAGAAAGCAAATGCGGGCAGAGAGCTATTGGCCTACCTTGGCAACTTTTAAGACGTGTGGACTTCAACTCCCAGAATTCCCCAGCCAGCTTTGCTCTCTGACTGACAATTGAGAACAGCATAACAGCTTTTCCCATTCCCCCAAAACTGCTGCACCTAGACTTGAGTGGAAAGATACTGTTGGGAGAGGCAAATGTCATGCAAAACAGTTGCATCAGCAGTGAAAGACGAGAGAGAAGGCTCTCCAGTTGCCACTTTCATGGATAGGTGATTGAAGGCAAAAGGAGAAAGGGACAGCAGAGGATGAGATGGTTAGACAGAGCCTTCGAGGCAATGAACCTGCTCTGTCTCCTCCCTGCCTATGTCTCATCAACAAAGAACGAGGTGTACCACAAGGCGGCTACAATATCACCCATCCTTTTCTCAGCCTGCCTTGAAGAAGTATTTTGCAAACTAGCCTGGGCAAAAGATGGAATTAAAATCAATGGCGCCTATTTCAATCGCTTAAGATTTGCAGATGATGTCGTTCTCTTCTCAAGAGACCCAAAAGAGCTACAAAGACACATACAAAAGCACAGGAGAACCATTTGGCTTAAAAATAAACCTGAAAAAGAGCCAGGTAATGTTTAATAAATTCACCAAAGAAAGAAAAATAAATTTCGTATCTGGAGAAGAACTAGATATAGTAGACCAGGGGTCCCCAAACCCCAGTCCGTGGACTGGCACCGGGCCACAGCATGCCAGAAACCGGTCCGTGCAAACAAACGAAGCCTCATCCGCGGGATGCAGGCAGCACACAAAACCACGCCCCCTCCGGTCCACGGAAAAACCTCTCTCCACGGAACCGGTTCCTGGTGCCCAAAAGGTTGACGAAACCTCTGTAGTAGACCACTACATGTATCATGGCCAATGGATCTCAATGGAAGGTGATACAATAAAGGAAATTGAATGGCGTATTAAATGTGGTTGGCAGGCAATCGGCAAGCTAAGCATAATTTTCAAGAACAACCCCCCCCCCCCATGCCTGAAAAGTTTTCGATCCGTGTGTGCTACCTGCTCTAACATATGCCGGTGAAACATGGACACTGACCTCATTAGAGAACAAGCGGAAGTATAGGATATCATCAAGAGAGTAAAAGAACTGAAATGGAAATGGGCTGGTCACATAGCAAGAAGAACTGATGGCAGGTGGACTAAGGCAGGCAAAGAATGGATCCCCCTTGATCAAAAGCATCCACGAAAGAGACCTAAAACAAGATGGATTGAGGACATCAGCAAGTATTGCGGGCCCAGTTGGCAAAAGAAAGCCCAAGACCGTATGGATTGGAAACATGCAGAAGAGGCCTTCATCCTGCAGTGGGTAGACAATGGCTAAAATGATGATGATGATGATGATTAGAATTGGGTATGTCTAGTTTAATGAAGAGAAGGACGAGGGGGGACATGGTAGCAGTTTTCCAATATCTCAGGGGCTGCCCCAAAGAAGAGGGAGTCAAGCTATTTTCCAAAGCGCCTGAAGGCAGGACAAGAAGCAACGGGTGGAAACTAAGCAAGGAGAGAAGCAACCTAGAACTAAGGAGAAACTTCCTGACAGTTAGAACAATTAGCCAGTGGAACAACCTGCCTCCAGAAGTGGTGGATGCTCCAACACTGGAGGTTTTTAAGAAGAAACTGGACAGCCATTTGTCCGAAATGGTATAGGGTTACCTGCCTGAGCAGGGGGTTGGACTTGATGACCTCCAAGGTCCCTTCCAACTTTATTATTATTATTATTATTATTATTATTATTATTATTATTATTATTATTATTATTATTATTATTATTATTATTATTATTATTATTATTATTAATGGAGGAAATAACGCTGAATAATTCAAAATGCTGTCATCGTTTCTAATTCATCCTCACCTAATGTTTTCTATTATAGGTTCCCTGTGTTATCGGGTCCAGGCATTCTCAATACTGAGGGCAATGCTAGAGTGATTTATTTTGCAAAATGACAGTATTTCCCCCCTTTTTAATTAAAGGATTTGCTTATTCTGGAAGATAATGATGATTAATCTGGATCTGTCTCTTATCCAGTAATGACTTTGGTATTAACCCTTATGCAGATTAGTGAGACTTGGCTGAAAATACTACTTTATGGATCAATTTAGACAGGCACGAGGCCTTCTCTGCTGAATCTTCAAAATTTAACTCCTTGTATTCCTTCCAGAAAATGTCAAGTTTTCAAGGTTTTTATTTATTTAGCATATGGCAGTTGCTGGAATTGGGTATGTCTAGTTTAATGAAGAGAAGGATGAGAGGTGACATAATAGCAGTGTTCCAATATCTCAGGGTTGCCATAAAGAAGTGGGAGTCAAGCTACTCTCCAAAGCGCCTGAAGGCAGGACAAGAAGCAACGGGTGGAAACTAACCAAAGAGAGAAGCAACCTAGAACTAAGGAGAAACTTCCTGACAGTGAGGACAATTAATCAGTGGAACAACCTGCCTCCAGAAGCTGTGAATGCTCCAACACTGGAAGTTTTTAAGAAGAGACTGGACAGCCATTTGTCTGAAATGGTGTAGGGTTTCCTGCCTGAGCAGGGGGTTGGACTAGATGACCTCCAAGGTCCCTTCCAACATCATCATTATTATTGTTGTTATTATTATTATTATTGATCATCGCACAGTCAGCCAGATGTTCAGACTGGATTTGGCATTTTGTCTACCTATCGAATCCTTACCAAGGACCTGGGATAGGCAGATGTGGATGTTTGATGGTATTACAGATATCATCGCAGGATGGAAGCAGTTCCTAGTAAGGCCGCCTTTTGCAATTGACTAATAGCGAATTTGTGAATGCCGATGATGGTGTTCAAGTGGTGCTCCAGTTGTTTTAAGATTGCACGCAAGGCGCCTATTACTACTACTACTACTACTACTACTACTACTTATTATTATTATTATTATTATTATTATTATTATTATTATTATTATTATTATTATTATTATTATTATTATATTATCATCATCATCATCATCATCATCATCATCATCATATATATAAGCCAGGAGACTACAATGCTAATGCAGAGTAGTTTAGCTGCCTAAGACTGCTAGCCCTGTTTTGGTTCATGCTCACACGCTTTCCAAGGGGTGCCTCAGCGGGTGAGCTAGTTCCGCACCAGAAAGGAAGACGAGCTGCTTTCCTGCAGTGTCACCCGGGGCCCTCTCCCTCCTCTGAAGCCTTCTGGCAAACAGGCGTTGCAACCGGGAAGGTTCAGTGCCTACAGGATTCTAACCCTCCACACAAAGTGCTGGCTTGTCTCCTCAACAAAGTGGTACCTACATATCTATCACATATAGCATGCTTTCAAGCTGCTAGGTGGGCAGGAGCTGAGGGAAGTGACGGGAGCTCACCCTGCCACGCAGTGCTAGGACTCAAACCGCTGAAGCAAAGGTCATCTCCAGTATCATTGAGCCACTCAGCCAACCCGCCTCTTCATTTTCAAGTTAAAAGATTTCTACTAAAAAAATGGTTACCATATTTGTGGACTCACTGGAGAAGAGCCTAATGCTGGGAAAGATTGAGGGCAATAGAAGAAGGGGACAACAGAGAATGAGGTGGCTGGATGGAGTCACTGAAGCAGGAGGCGGGAGCTTAAATGGACTCCAGAAGATGGTAGAGGACAGGAAGGCCTGGAGGAACGTTGTCCATGGGGTCGCGATGGGTCGGACACGACTTCGCAACTAACGACGACATATTTGTGGTTTAATTACTATGCCACATTATTTATGACACCTGCACACCCTGCATTCCAATGTGATACCAAAAAAATGGCATTTGCTTCTGGATACTTACTTTTTTGCCCTTTCTTGATAAAACCAGGCCCTCTGCCAAAAGCGCTTTCCCTGTTTCTGCAAATAGTAGGTCTTCGTCCATTTCTCCCTCCTTGTTCTTCAATTCATTGTATTTCTCAACAAACCTGGAATTCCAAGAGGAAAGATCATAATTTCCAGTCCATGAACTTGGAAGAAAAAAAAATCCTTAGGGGAGAGTTTATTCACTTACCTTTGACAGGGAGATTTATAATTTGATCTTGCTAGTTCAAATATACCTGAACCAGTTCCATAGACTTCATAAAATTTCCTAATGAATTAGATAAGAAATTTCAATTTAGAACTTATCTCCAGGTAGACAAAGAATATTGCTATACTAATATTTATTTATTAGGTAGATTTATGTGGTATCCAGATCAAATACATGTCTCTTGGGTGGCTAATACATATTACTTAGCTCTAATAGTGCTGTATTTCCTCTCCCGCCTTGAGAAATGAACAGGCTTCTTGCAAATTGTATTATTCAGCTGAAGTCTTAGTCTAATTCAGGGTTGGTGAAACTATCATTTTTCCCGCAGGAGGTGGTGATGCCATCTTATTATCCAAGAAAGCAAGGGATTTCAGTATTTTTTTTTCTTTTTTTAAAAAAGGGGTTGTTTAAAGATGCCGGTCAAGCATCTATTTATATTTATTTTGACCCCCCCCCCCCAGAAATTCTTGAGAAATTACACACTATCACAGTGATGGCGAACCTTTTAGAGACCGAGTGCCCAAACTGCAACCCAAAACCCACTTACGCATTGTCGGGTGCCGGGTGGGCGTGGTCCATTGGGTGGGCGTGGTCCATTGGGTGGGTGTGGCTGCGGTGGTAACGGCAGACTGGGTGGGACTAAAAAGTTCAATCAATTCCAACTTTGCAAGATCTTTTTTTTCACTGCGAGTTGAAATTGCCTGATTGATTGAACTTTTTTTTTTTTTGCACACAGAGGTGGAGACCTAAAGCAAAAAGGTTTTATAAAACCCAGCTGAAGGCCTAAAACTGGGGCGACGGCGCGCGTGCCCACAGAGAGGGCTCTGGGTGCCGCCTCTGGCACCCGTGCCATAGGTTCGCCATCACTGCACTATCATTTAGTAATTTTCTGCTTCAGTGTAACAGGGAAAACTTGGGAGACTTAAGAAGCTGCAAAACAAGAATAACATATCAGCTGTAGTCCCTCTCTGCCATCAGATCTGTAACATCACAAGGGGAAGCAGATTACTTACACCTTAAAAATACAAGCAGTCCTCGACTTACCACTGTTCGAAGTTACGACGGACTTACCTTGGAGCTATTTATGATCTGGTTCTGAAGTTCCAACAGTCATGCCCCCCCCTGCAGTCACATGACTGAACTCCAGGCACTCAGCAACACAGCCAGATTCACAGCATCCCATGGTCACATTTTACAATGATTTTGCTGAAAATCAGCACTAACGTCAAGTTTTCGCAAATCTATGCCCATAACAAATGATGGTTTCACTTAACAACCGTGGCATTTGCTTAGTGACTGCCACATAAAGGGTCATCATAACTTACAACCAGTTGACAGTCATATGTCAAGGATTATATTTGTCATTTCCTGTGGCATTCTCCAAGCCATCATAGCAACAAGTGACAACATCTGTATGCAAGACGTTCCACAATAACATCCCTACTAGTTCAAACTGCAAGGAGGGGAGAAGGAACGATGCCTTAGATCTGAAAAGCTATTGTTGTTTATAACAGGGGTCCCCAACCCCCGATCCGTGGACCAGTACCGGGCCGTGGCATGCCAGCAACCGGGCTGCACAAACAAGCAAAGCCCCATCTGCGAGATGCAGGCAGCACACAAAACCACACACCCTCCAGTCCACAGAAAAACCTCTCTCCACGGAACCGGTCCCTGGTGCCCAAAAGGTTGTAGACCTCTGGTTTATAACATGCTTATCCTGACTTATATCTAAAAGCCCAGGGAAAGAAAAGAATAAAAAGTCTGTCTAAAAATTACACCCATGACACCTGTGAAACAGGTGACAATGAGAACTAATGATTGTTTAGTTTGCTCAATAAGTCTCCAAGTCTCAGTCAAATCTCAATTGTTATTCAATCTTCTAATCGCTACACAATCGTTATCAGCAATAATTGATAAGATGCAGGCTGGATGAACTAGGAGTATGACTCTATAGAGCAGCGGTTCTCAACCTATGGGTCGCGACCCCATTTGGGGTCGATCGACCATTTCACGGGGGTCGCCAAGCAAGGCTGTCCGCCATTTTTTTCCCCCTTTTCCGGCGGGTGCCTTACCTCCTTTGAGCTGGGCCAGCTGGTGGTCGGCCTGCTCCGTCTCTGCCGCTTACCAGTTACGCCTCGGCCGGCGCAGGGGGCGGAACCACGCATGTGCGGCGCTCCCGGGCAGGGAAAGTCCTCGACTTACGACCGGTTGGGTAGTCCTCGACTTACGACCGGTTTAGTCCTCGACTTATGACCGGTTTAGTCCTCGACTTACGACCGGTTTAGTCCTCGACTTACGACCGGTTGGGGGTCGCGGCATTAAAAAGGTTGAGAACCACTGCTATAGAGGGCTAAAAATGCCAGTCTGGTATAATGGTGAAGATGCTGGTTTAGAAACCAAGAGACCTTGGCCTCTTGGCCTCCTGTGAGCCAGCTGGGTGAATTTGAACCAGTCACTCTGCAACTTGAGACTTCCTGCCAGCTTCCTCTTTGAATTTGCTTCTCAGAAGCCAGTGGTGAAGATTACAAATGGCGATCACATAGCCATAGGACACTGCAATCATCCTAAATGTGTAACGGTTGCCAAGTGCCTGAATTGCGGTCATGTGATCACAGGCATGCTACAATGGTTGCCTCTTCATAAATCTCCTTTGTTTAGTGCCGTTTAACTCTGAAAAGTTGCTGAACAAGCAGTCAGTCAGTAAGCGAGGACTACCTGTAAAGAAATGGGAGGAGAGGGGAAACTAAGAGGGAAAAGAAAGGAGTGACTCTTACGCTCGGATCTGATCCTCCGGGTACAGAATGGGGGGCACTGTATCTTTTATCTTTCCCACCAACGGGCGAATATTGCGATAAGTGGGCTCCCGTAAGGGAGGGAAAGCAGCGTAAACATCATACCAGATGGGTTTCTGGGATTCACGCATTGCCCCAGAGCGGAGCAAGTTCTGCACCCTGCAAGGAAAGAGTAGGAAGTCAATTTGCATAAGGAGGAAAAGGAAAAAAACGTTTGCAATAGTGGCGAATATCTGTAGCTCAGGTGTAGGATGAGGATGAAGATTTGTTCTCCGAGCTTGTGGGTTGGTTTCTGAATGTTTCGTTAGCAGGCTAGGTAACATGTTCAAAAGACTTTAGGGGATGTCAGTGTTCTTCTGTTTATAAGGGCTTCAGGTGTGGGTGTGTCAAGTGAGGGTCTGTGATGGGTCTTGTGATGGGGAGGTTACATGAGGTCAAGGTCATTGAGTGGGTGGGGGCTTGTGTGGGTTGACTGAGGGTCGGTGCCATCTCTGGTTGGCTGTGCGGTTGATTTGGATTCGGAGGGGTTCGTAGGCTGGTTGTAGGTCAATGTGCCTGGGGATGGAATTGCTTGTGGAGTGCCAGGCTTCAATGAATTCACAAGCATGGCGGGTACATGCCCAAAGATTTTTGTGTTGCTCCAATCGAACTGGTACTGTTTGGTGTCGGTGTGGGTAGAGATTAAGGATTTGGGATTGTGGCGTTTGACTGCCAGCCGGTGCTCGTGAATCCTAGTTTTTAACTGATGTGATGTTTGTCCCACGTAGAATTCGTTGCAATGGTTACAGTAGATTTTGTAGATCACCTTGTTTCTTTCATTCTTCTGTATCTTATATTTGGTTCTGAATAATTCCTGGGGAAGTGTGGCTGTGGGTTTCTGGCCTATTGCTATTCAAAAGGAGTGCTGGAAATGACAGCCAGAATTCTCCAACCCCTAGGAATAGCAATAGCCCACAAACCCACAGCCACACTCCACCAGGAATTATCCACAAGAACACTGACATGGACATCCCCTAAATTCTGCTGAAGATGTTACCTAGCCTGGTAACAAAAAATTCAGAAACCAACCCACAAGCTCGGAGAATGAACACCCTAAAAAAAACAACCCCATATTATTACTATATTAGTTATTATTAATAACATTAATATTTTATGTGTTTATCTTATTAAAATGTATTAGGGCTGCCCAATGCAGAAGATACTGGCCAGCTATATAGTGCATTTAATAAAATAAATGAATATAAAGGCAATATTTATATATTAGTCAAATTAACACTACTGATATTTTATGGGTTTATTTTATTAAATTTTGTAAATCCAGCCACTCCAGAAGAGAACAGGCAGCCATAATTAATTTAATACAATAAAATAAACAGATAAAATATAAAACAGCGTCCTTTTCATTAAAGGGGCGGGTTACAACGTTAGGATATTTCCTAGGCCAGCGCTTGGCAGTTCCTTTAGAGAAGGACCACGTGAAGTAGACTGCCTCTGGAACTGGAGGTTCGACCACTTTCGGGCTTGCAAATATCCGTCCTGCCCCCAAGAGATCCGCAACTCTTTGTGCCTTCCAGGGATTCCCCAGGCTTTTGCCGCCCAAGCATTGTATTTCTGCAGGGAGAACATTTATCGCAAATGTCTAGACTTTTTTTTTAATTAACTGCCCCAAAGCGGCCACGCTTTCATTTCCCTGCTTTCGAGCTCCCTAGTATAAATTTTACGACTGCCGTTCTTCACAAGCCCTAACCCAAAATGCAGGAGGGAGGGGGAGAAAACCCAAAGACCCACCGGGTAAAGATTGTTCCCAACTTCTCCAACCGGCTCTCCGCCATTGCGTCTTAAACTAGGCCTAACTAGGCCTCTCTTGGCAACTGAAAGCGGCCCTTAGCAACCTCGGGTCACGGAAACGGAAACCAAGAGATCTCGCGAGACTAGAACCTCCGAGACCCGCGTGATAGTGGCAAGCCGATACGGGAGCAATAGAGATTACAAAGGCAGACAGAAGCAATCGATGAAGGAGTAGCGCCGGAGGATGGCTAGCGTTGGCTTCATGCAAGAAGCGAAATAATCAAAAATGAAAAATCATTTAGATTCTCTTGTGAGCTCTGCCCGGAACTGATCTGCGAGGCAAAGTCTTACCTGTGGGATCTAAGGCTTACAATGCACCATTCCCATTAAATTATTATTTGGAATAGAGCACCTGGATTCATGCAGAATGCAAAGCCAAAACGTGGTTTGCTTGAATGTGCAGTGTGTATTTTCAAAATTAAATAGTTAAAGAGATTCTTTGGCTCAGTTTTCCACTGTAAAGGCAATGTTTCCCAACTGTGGTGACTTTACGATGTGTGCACTTTTAGCTTCCAGAATTCCTCAATGGTTGGGGAATTCTGGAAGTTGAAATTTACACACCTTAAAATCACCAAGGTGGAGAAACACTGCACACTGTTTAACTATTGTTTATAAAATAAATAATGGTTGAGTTCACATCTTAACATCTTCCTGAACATAGTGTGGCAAGTTTTGTTTGGTGAGAATTCAAGTCACTTTGATTTATAAATCATGATTTATGGCTTAGTGTCAAAAACCTTTTTAGATTTATATCTCATCTTTCAGGAATTATTCATAGCATTTTCTTTTTATTTGTTGAACTCACAGTCTCTGGGTTTCTAGATCAGCACCTCACCACTATCCCTTAATGGTTCGTTCATTCATCTTGTATATCACCCAACTTGCCTTAGAGGCAACTCACCTGGAGGCGGTTCATACTTTTTCCAAGGTCATCTCTGCTTTTCTTTGCAGAAATAGATGAATAACATATTGGGGATGGAGTAGTGAAGGTTGGACCTGATGACCTCTGAGGTCCTTCCCAACTCTACCACTCTATGATATATTGACCTACAGTGCATTCAGAATATATTCACTTCTGTCAATTTTGTTATGTTTCAGCCTGATTCTACAGTTGTTGAAATTCATTTTTTCTCATTAATCTACACTCAGCACCCCATGATGACAAAGTGAAAGAATTTTAGTAATGTCTGTAAATATATTAAAAAGAAAAAAACATTGGCATACTAATTCAGACCTTTCACTCAGTACTTTATTGAAGCACCTTTGGCAGCAATTACAGCCTCAAGTCTTTTTAGGTATGGCGCAACAAGCTTTGCACACCTGGATTGGGGGATTTTTCTGCCATTCTTTCTTGCAGATCCTCTCAAGCTCAGTCAGGTTGGATGGCGACCATCGGTGGACAGCCATTTTCAGATCCCTCCAGAGATATTCAATAGGATTCAAGTCAGGGCTCTGGCTGGGTCACTCTTGAGCGCATTCACAGAATTGTCTCCAAGCCATTCCTGTGTTGTCTTGGCTGGGTGCTTAGGAACTTTGTCATGTTGGAAAGTGAGCCTTCAGCCCAGTCTGAGGTCTGAGTGCTACAAATATACTGTATTCGTGTATTTTGCTCTGTTCAGCTTTCTCTCAACTCCAATCACTCCTGGTCCCTACTGCTGAGAAACACCCCCTCAGCATGATGCTGCCATCACCATGCTTCACTGTTGGGATGATAATGGGCAGGTGATGAGCAGTGCCTGGTTTCCTGCAGACAAAAAATTTAGAATTGAGGCCAAACAGTTCAAACTTGGTTTCATCAAACCAGAGAATCTTGTTCCTCACAGTCCCAAGAGTCCTTCAGGTGCTTTTTTGCAAACTCCAAGCAGGCTTTCATGTATTTTGCACTGAGGAGAGGCTTCCGTCTAGCCACTCTGCCATAAAGCCCAGATTGGTGGAGGGCTGGGGTGATGGTTGTCTTTCTGGAACTCTGCCTCACCTCCACACAGGATCTCTGAAGTTTAGTCAGAGTGACCATTGGGTTCTTGGTCACCTCTCTTACTAAGGCCCTTCTCCCCTGATTGCTCAGTTTGACCAGGTGATCAGCTCTTGGAAGAGTCCTGGTTATGCTAAACTTCTTCCATTTGAGAATTATGGAAGCCACTGTGTTCTTAAGAACTTTCAGTGCAGCAGAAATTTTATTGTAGCCTTTCCCAGATCTGTGCCTTGCAATAATCCTGTTTCTAAGCTCTGTAGGCAGTTTCTTTGACCTCTGCTACAGTATGGCATTGTCAGTCGTGAGGACTTCTATAGAGAGGTGTGTGTCTTTCCAAATGATGACCAATTTAATTTACCACAGGTCAATTCCAATCAAGGTGTGGAAACATGTCAGCAATGATCAAAAGAAATGGCAGGCTCACCTGAGCTAAATTTCAAGTGTTATTGCCAAGGTTCTGAATACTTATGCCAATGTGATATTTCAGTTTTTTCTTTTTAATAAATTTACAGACATATCTAAAATTCTGTTTTCACTTTTTCATTATGGGGTACTGAGTGTAATTAATGTGGAAAAAATGATTTTCAACAACTAGAATCAAGCTGCAGCATAACAAAATTGACAAAAGTGAAGGGGATCTGAATATTTTCTGAATGCATTGTAATTGCACATGCTGATTTACTGAATTGACTTGGTTCACATAACACACCATATGGATAAAGACAGCCTTCAGGTGAGCTGGGCTCCTGCTGATTATATGAATGCTTTATTGCATTTTTAAAAAAATGATACAAAAGTGATTGTCCAATACAGTATTTTTCCCAGGATGGTTTTTGATCTACTTTACCACAAACCTGGGATTGTTGGCTTATGGTGGTGGACATTTAAACTTTTATCAATTTAGCCACTTGCAGTGCAAGTAATCCTCAACTTACAATCATTCATTTAGTAACTGAAGTTATAACAGCACTGAACAGGGCCCGGTACTGGGCCACAGCCTGGGGGTTGGGGACCCCTGTCTTAAGTGACCAAGGTTGAAATACATTGATGTAATCATTTGCCAGTGCTCACCTAGTAAAAGGCTTGAGGGAACTCAGGCATTTCCTGAAGTGGGTAGAGAATGTATTCTCACAATGGCATATTTTCAGTTGATTGGAGCTATTGTATGGTGCCAGAACTGACTGGATTAGTGGCTGCCTGGGTGAAGCTTGTTCTGGGCACAAGCCAGCCACTGCTGGTCATTCATTTCCTGGGAACATTTTGTCAACTTCTCAGAGACATGAGTTGACCATCAAGGTTGGAAACGGAATTCTGGACTTCTGTTTCAACAAGACTCTTCCTTGGGATATAAAACCTTATCTTTGCAAATCAGAACAACAATGTCTGTTTGGGTTTTCGGATCTATTCCAGTGGGCTGCCTAGTGGTGGTGGAGAAGCTGGTTCACACATCATATGAAGCTATGGTTTGTTTATCCCTGGACTGGGTAAACTGCAACTGATTCGGTTCATTCAATGATGTTTAGCCATGAAAAATTACAATTGAATATTACTGAATTGCTTCAAATGAGAGACTGAGCTACTTCAGATCCCCCAGGCTGGAAAATATTTTATCAACTTTCCCAGATGTTTTTATCCCAATTGATCATGACGAGAGAAGATCATTAGGAGACAATGTCTAGTTGGGCTTTTTTCCTCTCCTCTCCCATCAGCCCTTTTTCCTCATGCGTTGTTGCTTTTCAGTCATCATCTTGAGTGCAAGGACTATGAGGTAACGAATGCTTTGAAATGCTTCTTCCCAAATTTCTCCTTTATGGGCTGAGTTGCCTTTATGAAACAAGTTCCATTCCTTCCTCAACTTTTACACAATCTCTCACAGCTACTTTACCATGAGACAGGATGAGGACACAGGGTGCCAGTCAGTTAATCCAGAGCGTTGATTATAGGTTAGCGTTGGCATGTTTTTTGTCCTTCCCAAATATGCCACCAGATGGCAGCTGGCATAACATATTTTCCTACAGTCTTTGTCTCTTCCTCGCCCAGGTCAGCCTCTCTCCGTTAACATGCAGCACCAAGGTTACTGCAACAAACAAACGCATTTGCAGACTTTCAGAAGGGACTTTCGGAAGAGTCATTTTGGATTTAGATGTCTATGGAGATTCTTAATCATCCAGGTCATGGTTGTCCCAAAGGTCCTTTATCACGAGGCAACTGGACTTTCTTTTTTCTCTTTGAAGACATTTCGCTTCTCATCCAAGAAGCTTCTTCAGCTCTGACTGGATGGTGGAGAATGAAAGGATTTATACTCCTTGCAGACAGCTGGTCATTTGCATTCTTTTAGAACAGACATGTCAAACACAAGGCCCGGGGGCCAGATGCGGCCCGCGAAGCCATCCTGGAAACAGTGAGGGAACGGCCCCCACTGCCTTGGCCCTGGCCCAGGCCGGCCGGGAGCCAATGTACAATTTTCTGGTGGCCATCTATGCTGAAACGCATTCAGTCTTAGCTCCACAAGGCCGTCTGGAAACAGCGAGGAACCAGCCCCTGCCGCATCGGCCCCGCCCCCTGGGTGCATGCTGGGGAGATGTCACCCTTTGTGTCACCAACCCTGCTTTGGCGCTTGCCCCGGTCCCACCCTCTTCTGCCAGAGACCCTCAGATCTGTCCCACTCCTGCCCAGGCCCCCACAGGCACCCTTGACGCGAACGATGTAGAGCTGGCCATGCCCACCCAGTAGGCCACACCCATTCCATCCATGCCCACCCAGTAGGCTGCACCCACCCTGGCCACACCCACTCGCCCCCCCGCCGAGGGCAACCGCAATGCTGATGTGGCCCTCAATGAAATTGAGTTTGACATCCCTGTTTTAGAGAGTCATTGATGCCTGCATTTAGGGTTTCCTGTGGTTTGAATGAATCTAAAGCAAGGATGAACAGGAGCATATCTTGGGTGTTTAGTTTTCCAGTTCACAGTCCTACAAATATTTGCTATCAAAATAATAGTTAGAAGGGACCTTGGAGGTCTTCTAGTCCAACCCCCTGCTCAAGCAGGAGACCCTGGCCTATACTATT